CCATCAAAAATACCATTAAGGAAATACACAGGCAAGACACAAACTGGAAAATATTCCAAGTACTTGTATCTAAGATATGTGAAGAACTCCTATACATCCATAACCAAAATAATAATAATAATTTAAAAAAAACACAATAAAAAATGGGCCAAAGCCTTGAACAGACAGTTGACAAAATAAGGTCCACAAATAGCCAATAAGCACATTGACGTGTGCTTGACACCATTCGTTATCAGGGAACTGCAAATTAAGCCACATGATATAGAACTTCATACACATAGGACAGACAAAAAGTAGAAATGGACGATACCTAATATGGGCCAGGCCAGGGTACGGCTGGAAGGCTCTTACGCTGCTGGCAGTCAAGCAAAACGATAGAGCCCCTTAGGGAAGCTGTTGGGAAGTTTCTTAGAAAGGTCAACACACACCTGCCTGGTGACTCCACAGTTTCGCTCCTATGTATCTACTCAAGAGAAATGAGAATATGATTTGTACACCAACGTTCATTAACAGTCTTGTCCATCACAGCCCCAAACCGGAAACAACCCAAATGTCCCACTGCGGGCGAAAGGGTCAGCAAACATGGCTTATTCCTACAAGGGAATATTACTATGCAGTGAAAAGAACACGTTCTCGATACACCTAACAACACAGACGACTCTTAGAGACATGTTGAGAGGGAGCGGCTGGACACAAAAGTGTCTGTACTCTGTGACTGCATTTACAGGAAGTTCTAAAACAGGTGACATGGGTCCTGGTGGTACTCGACAGAACAGAGGCTGCCTGGTCGGGGGGGCCGGGTGACTGGGGGCATGAGAGAACCTGCTGAGCTGGTGGAGCAGCTCTGCACCTTGGCCTCGGTGGTGGCTGCACAGGTGCCTACAATTGTCAAAACTGATGGAACTGTGCGCTGGCTCACTGACTGTAAATCATACTGTGATTAAAAACAGAGAAAACAAATGACCAAGAAAAGGGCAGGACAGAGTCTGAGACACCGAGAGAAGCTGTTGTGAGTCCCAAAGGTGGCAGGGGCCATGGCGTCTGAATGCCACTGGGGGCCCAGAACTCTGCAGGGGTAGGGTTTTCAGGGGGACCAACGGGGCCGGGATCAGAGAAAAGCAAACTGCTTCTGTGTCACCCCCCCCATGTGGCCTCTGCCTCCACACACAATTTATGTCAACAGAAGACCTGGGAATGAATGCCTGAGCGAGTGAGTGACAGGGGGGTTCAGGTGTGGAGAGAAACAAGACACAGAAGGAAGGGGCGAGTGTGTGGGAATCACCGGGCCTTTGAGCCTCTGACAAGGGGCAGAGCCCAGCCCCTGGATACTGAGGACAGGTCTTCCTTGCATCTCTGTCCCTGTCCCCTACCCCCCACCACGGGGAAGCCACCTTTAAACACAGCCCATCAGTGAGCACTGCAGTTAGAAGGCATAGGTGCTGACACCCTGGGCCAGCAGGATGTGACGTGGCCGTCCACACCCCAGAGTGGAAGGGGCGGCCCTACAGGGTGGGCCGGGTGGAGCGAGGAGCCTCACCTGGTGCACCTGCCCCTGCAGCTGGGCCCTCTCGTGCCGCAGCCTGGCCACCTGACCCTCCAGCTGCCGCTCCAGGCGCCCACAGGCCCGCTGCAGGCCCCTGCGCTCGGCCTGCACCAGCTCCAGCTGCTCCCGGGCGCCCGCCTGCTCACGCTCCAGCGTCTTCTGCTGCTCCCGAAGCTGGTCCCGCTCCTGCTCCAGCTGCCAGCAGGGGTGCGGGAGGGGCGTGTGTCCAGACCCCTGCACCGCTACCCTCGGCCCCCAGGGCTGCCCACCCCTGCCCTGGCTTGCCCTCCCTCAGGCCAGGGCCCGTCGGGTCCCCTCATCCCTCTGTGGGCCTTGTCCCCCCAAACCTTTTCAGTCCAGAAATGGAAAAGATGGGGGTAGGATGGGTAAAAAACGGGGCCTGGGCTTGGAGACCAGTGCTGGGGCCGAGCCTCATGGCCACCCTGGTGAATGCGAGGCTCAGGCCAAGGTCTGCCCACCTGGGCCCTCGTCTCACCTGCAGGACCAGGTGGTTCAGGGTGCTTTTGTCCTGAGCCAGCCCCTCCATCAGGGCGGCCATTTTGGCCAGAGAGTCCCTCTGCTCCACCCCCTCCGACTTCAGCCTGGTCACAAGCAGCTCTAGGTCAACGTTGCTGGTCTCGGCCTGAGGCAGGGAGAGAGGGCAGCGGTCATCCCGCGGGGAGACACCAGGGAGGGGCTTTCAGGTTCGTGGACAGAGCATTCCCCCAGGTAGAGTTGTTGGTGCCAGGGAAGGAGCGAGCCGCATCGTGGGAGGTGTGCAAGCTAGAGCGCTGGGTGAGACAGGCTGGAAGGAGTCCCACCATAAGGAGACCTCTGGAGTAGACAGCAGCCCCCGGGGTACTAAGGCTGCAGCCAGCAGAGGTGACAGGGTGGCCATGGGTCAGGGAGGACGGTCCACGTGCACTGGTTAGTGCCTAAGGAGGCTGTCGGTGACTTTGGGAGCTCTGGGGATGGACCAAGGGCCCAAGAGGGTGAGGAGAGAGGTGACTGGGCAGAGTGTGGGCCGGAGCACATGGTGGGAGGGACGGGCATGGGCGTGGAGGTACCCGGGCCAGGGCACCGTGCAGAGCGTCCCTCTCGCTTTCCAGAACGTCCCTCTGGAGCTGGGCTGTGCTCAGTGCCTCCTGGGCCGACGCCAGCTCCTTCTTGAGCCCGGAGACCTTCTCCTCCAGCTCCACCAAGCGCGCTTGACTGAGGTCCCAAAACCAGAGGCAGCGGGCGTGAGGACGCCTCAGGGAAGACGGCGCCACCTCGCAGGGCCCAGCAGGCAGGGCGGCTGCCCGCAACTCCCTCCAAGCCCAGGGGGCCCAAAGGGGCCCAGGGTCGCCCTGGAGGCTGCAGGGGGTCCGCAGGGCAGTGTCCAGACCGGGCCTGTTTCTGGGCTGGGCTGGGCTGGGCTTCTCTGTCCATGCCTCAGGGGACACTTCTGGGTGAGGAGTGTGTGCCCTCATGCTGGGGGGCGCCCACCTCTGCTGGGCTCGGGGTGGTGAATTTGCCTGGGGCAGGCTTTGGGCAGGTGCTGGGTGGGTGTTGGGGTGTCAGGGAGACAGCTCAGCGTGGGAGGAGCCTGGAGAACCCTTCACCCCGGCTGCCTTGTTGAGTACCTCCCACTCGGGCAAGGAAGCGTTCCCCTTAGTGGAAAGGACACTGAGGCCCAGGGAGGGGCGTGAGCCCGTGGTGCTGCCCGGCCCACCTGGTCTCCAGCTCCCGGAGGTCCCACTGGCCCTGCTGTGCCTGCCGCAGGAGGCTGTCCTGCAGCTCAGCATTCGCCGCCTCCAGCCTCTGCTTCTCTGTGTCCCAAGCACCCAGCTTCCCTCTCAGCCGTCCCACCTCCGTCTCTAGAGCCTTCTTCTCTCTGGGAGCGGAAGTCCGAGGGTGGACGGCTGGATGTGCACGGGGGAGGGGAGCCCACGACCCTCACTGGGCACAGTTGAGCTCAGGGAGTGCCGGGAGGGTGGGTAGGGCAGGGGGCACCTGGTGTGGAGGCTGCCAGGCAGTAGCTCAGGGAAGTGTGGGGAGGGACAGGAAGACCCAGCCCCCTCTGGCCCCAGGCCGGCCTGCGAGGCGGGGCGGCCACCAGCAGGCTTGTCCCCTCCCGGTGGCCCTGTGGGAGCCCCTGAAGCATGCAGACGGCGGCTCCTGATGTGTCTCCATGCTCAGCCCTCCGCCACCCACAGGCCAAGTTCAGCCAGTCCTTGCAGAACTTGCTGGAAGCAAGGGACACCTCCCCAGCTGCACATCTGCACCTGTCTAGACAGGGCCCCCGGACACCCCCGATCCAGCCCCTCTGTGAAGCCGCACTCAGAGCTGGCCCACTTGCAGTGCTCACCACATGCGACCCATCATCCAGGGACCTGAATCCCAGCTGCCCCCTCTGGCCTCGGCCCTTGAAGCCCCCACTTCCCAAATGCCCCTTGGAGCCGGCTGTCCGACTGCCATGCTGAGGGACCCCCTCGGGCCTGTCTACCTGTCACCCGGACACTGCAGCTTGCCCCTCGGCCCCTGCTGACAGCTACCCCTGGGCCCCACTGCCCTCCGCCTCTTGGTGTGGTGCTGTGGCCCCTGCCCACCTTGCCCTGCGCACAGCTTGGCTTGGAGTTTCCCCACCTCTGCTCCTGTCCCCCCCACCTTCCTGCCCTCCAAGGCTTCCGTGCTCAGGGGGCCCTCGGCCCCTGCGTTCCCACACTCTCGCCAGGCGGAGCTGACCTGCCGCCCTCTCCGTGCCTCTTCCCATGCGCCCCTCAAGGCTGGATTGGGCCTCTTTTCCTTGGGCCTCCTGTGCAGCGCTGAGCACACTGTGAGGCCACTGAGTCCCGACCTCGGGGGGCGAGCGAGAGGTTCTGCTCGCCCCCCACCCCCCGCTCCTGCAGAAGCCTTCCTGAGCCCCAGCCCACGCCCGGCCGTCAGGCTTAGGCAGTGTGTGGGTTTGGGAAACCCCACTGAGCTGCTCACTCAGGACTGTAAGCCCTGGGGGGTTCTCATCCCACAGCCCCCACTCCCACCAACCCGAGGGTGGTAAGACATGTACAGAAGTGTCCAGAGAGCGCCAATGGCCACTGCACCACAGGCATCAGATCCACGGGGCACACCAGGAGGGCACGCGGCCCACCCCGATGGACGGGGAGGGAAAGGAATGGGGGCTTTAGGGACCATTTCTGAAGGATGGAGAACACCCTGGGAGGGGTCCTGGGAGCAGGGGGAGGTGGAGAGCACAGCCTGCTCTGGGAGCGCGTGGAGAGCTGGGGAGCCAGCGGAGGAGGCAGGAAGGTGAGTCCCGGGTAGACCCAGGTGGAACCAGATGGGGGGGCTCAGAGCTGGAGGGGGGTGAAGGGTGAGGGGTGAGGGGTGAGGGTGAGGGGCGAGGGGCGAGGGGTGAGGGGCGAGGGGTGAGGGGCGAGGGCAGGCGGCCTGGCCAGGCGCGGTTTCCATCTGGGACACACGGCCTCTCCCTCCCGCGTGGAAGGCCTTGGGGAGGAACCCCACCCCAGGCTGGGACGCCCGCCCTGCCGGGCCCGTCAGGCACCTTCCCAGGAGCTCGCTGGCCGCCCTGCAGCGTCGCGCCTCCTGGCTCTGCACCTCCAGCTTGTCCAGGAGGTCCTGGTACTCCCGCGTCTGCTCCTGCAGGAGGCTCCGAGCGGCCCGCAGCGCCTGCTGGCTCTCCGACAGCTGCCCACGGAGCCGGGCCACCTCCGTCTGGGAGGCCTCCAGCTGCAGGCCCAGCACCTGCCGGGGCCGAGGGGGGCGCTGTGAGACCCTCTAGTCAGGACGGGCCAAAGGCTCCCCCAGAAAGGAGGTACTTAGCCCCACAGCTTGCTCCCCGGGCCTGTGGACACCCCACGGTCAGCCCACCTGGGTGACCCACAGGTAGGCGCTCAACCAAACTGGCAGGTCTCCTGGCTCTGCCCCCTCGGGGACCAGGGCCCCGGCTGCCTACCTGCCCCTGCTGCTGTCGCCTCTCAAGGGCCGTCTGCACGGCCCGCAGCGCGGGGTCCTGGGCAGCTGGGGAACGGGCCCGTGATGCAGCGAATGGGGGGCTCGTCCGGGGGCCCTGCTTCTCCTCCTCAACTTCAGTGCCGCTGCTCCACACCAGCTCTGGGCACCCCAAGTCCGCCTGGGCCACCTTCAGGGCGCAGGGAGGAAGGGACGCAGGGAGAGAGCTCAGGGCATGGCCCACCGGGACCTGCAGCCCGTCCGCTGCTGTGCCACAGGGACCCAGGGGGCCTGCACCTCTGTGATGGCGTCCAGGACACGCTGCAGGGATGCGACCTCGTCCTTCAAGCTGTCCCCTGCCGGCTGGCCTCTGCTGCGCCCGGCCTCCTGTGACCAGGGCAGGCCCCTCAGTGAGGCGGCAGCTGCCCCCGGGCAGAGCCAGCCGCCTCCCAGCCCACGCACCAGTCTCTGAACGTCCACTTTCAGGGAAGAGATGACGCTCTCCTTCTTCAAGTTTTGCTCTGTGAGCTTCTCCACCAGCAGCGTCTGCTCAGAGAGTCTGGAGAGAAGTCGGGAGGTGGGGGAGGCAGGGAGCAGGGTCACTGGCACGGCGCAGAGCACAGGCCTGGAGTGTCACAGCCAGGGGGGCCCTGGACCCCCAGGTGCCGCCGCGTCGCGCCCAGTGGCAGCAGGATAGGCCTTCAATCTCCCGGTTCCCAAGGAGCTGCCCTCGGCAGCCTCGGACCCGGATGGGGGTCTGTGTGCAGGACCTCCCGACCTGCTCGGAGCTGTGGCTGCTCTGCCCCGGCCTCATCACAGCAGCCGTGGTCCTGGCCCTCCGCCTGCGCCAGCTGCTTACACGCTGACCTCAGAACAAGCGCCTACCCCGGAAGGATGCGCTTTTTGGCTGAAAATCCAGAGCCAGCCACGGGGACAGTCCCCATGTGCTCACTGCAGTGTCCCCCGAGGCCCTCAACGTTGGGGAGCCCTAACTTTGGCTTCAGAGCTGGTTAAGGAGTTTGGGCCTGTTCACTGCAAGTGTCAGATGGCTGCTGGGATAAGGACTGTGAACTGTGTGCAGAGTCAAGGTGAGCGCGGTGGCAGAGAACGCTGGTGACAACGAGGAAGCCAAGTTGCATGTGAGCGCCTGCCCATGCCCGGAACGCAGCAGAGAGGAGCGGGGTGCCCGCCTCTTGCCCCCTGCCCACCCTGGGCGCCCACCTGGCCTGCAGCGCCACCTTCTCTGCGTCGCAGCGGCCCTGCAGCTGCAACATCTCGCACACCTTGTCACGCAGCTGCTGCTCCAGGGCGCTGGCTGCACCGCGGGCCGACAGCCGTAGGTTGGCGTCCAGGTTCAGGCAGGCCGTGTGCAGGTGCCGGGCCGTCCTGGCCGCATCTGCTCGCATGTCAGCAAGACCCCTGGGGACAAGGTGGCACCCCCAGTGAGCCTCAGCACCAGCTGTGGGCTCTGGGCCCAGGAGGCTGCGAGCCGGGGGGAGGGCAGGCGCTGGCCACGTGGCGGAGCCCCTCCCCAACCATGCTCAGGAGAAGCTCTCCGTGAGTGTCATCAGCCACCCCATGTCACAGCCCGAGATAGGTGAGCAGGGGCTGGGCAAGGCCAGATGGGACCTTGACCCTCTGAGCCCCAGTTTCCTCTTGTGCAGACTGGGGTGCTGACAGGTACCTCAGTAACCCAGGACAGACCTATGAGAGGTGCTGGCAAGGACCAGAGGGACCCAAAGCTGCACCGGTGTAGCTCCTCCCCTCCTCAGGTCTCCCCTGCACCCCTGCCTCCCTCATTCTGTCCCTTTGTCCTTCCTGCCCCGAACACCCCAGGGCTGCTGCACCCACCAGGAGGAGCCTGGAGGGCCCAATGCCTGGGCCCTCCCATCAGATGCCCACCCTGGGGGGCCCACGCAGGCTTGGGCGAGGTGCGGCGGCTGGCTCACCGCTCAGAGGCTGACCGCAGCTCAGCCAGGTGTGCACGAAGCGCTGTTACCTGCCTCCGCAGGAGGAGGAAGTCCCGGGGCTCCCCCAAGCGCAAACGCCGCGTCTGAAAGCAAGAGGCTCGTGTCCACTTCCGGCCCAGGCTCTGGGAGGTGACGAGCCTGTGGCCCCTTCACTCTTCCCAAATGTCATGAGGGCCAGCCCCACGGGCCACACCCTGCACTGCCTACCTGTTCCTGCAGCCTGTGTCCCAGGGACTTACCTTCCAGAATGAAGCAAATCCCCTACCCCACCCCCCAGAGGACCTCGGGATGTGACCACAGTCAGCCCCCGCCAGGCATGGGGGAGGGGCACGCTTTTCCTCCTTTCCCAGGACCCAGAGCAGCCGTCACTCTGGGAGGCCCCCCCCTTCATCCCCCCCAGACGTCCAGATGTGCGGCCCCCCCCAGACGTCCAGATGTGCGGCCTGCCCTTGAAGGTGCTGGGAGGCGGACACCTCGCCACTCAGAGCTCACAGGGTGCAGGTGGCGAAGCTGCTGTGCGACCAGGGCCCGTGAATTAGGGCTGTAATGGTGGTGGGGAGGCCACTGCAGGGCTGTGGTGGGGAAGGGGTGGGTGGGGCGTGGGGGGCGGCCGGTCAGCAGTGGCAGGCTTGCCGGGACCTAAGCCAAAGCCACGGGCCCTGAGTGTCCGGGCCACCTTGCCAGTCCCTGCACCCGGCTGTGTCCTGAATGAACGCTGACCTCCAGGGACCCTGGAGGGCTCCCCAAGGCGCCCCGTGCTTTGCTGTGCTCCCACTGCCCCCTGCCTGTCACGGCCCCAGCCCGCGTTGCTTTCATCTAGAGCTCACTCACATTTGGCTGGTTCTCAAGGCCCACATACCCTCCTCTTCCCCCCAGAGGCCCTTGCTGACCCCGCATCTGAGGTGGTCCCCCCATTGAGCCCCCAAACACTTTGGGTGTGTATATGCTCTGTAGGGAGTGCCCTTTTGTGCCTGGAGCCGGAGCCCTCTGTGCGTGTACCCTCCCCACCCCATCGAATCATCAAAGAGCAGGTGAGCTCAGCCCCATGGCTAGCGGAGGGGCAGCCGCCTGGGCTGGCCTGCCCGAAACTCCAACTCCCGTGACCGTTTCCAGACTTCACGATTTCTTGAGCTCAAGGCTGGGCTGGTCAACCCTGCGGAAGCACGCAGGCCGGGAAGCGGGGGAGGTCAGGGACTCGGAGGCACACGGGCAACTTTTGCCAAATGGAGCAACTTGGACAAATTTCCTTGACCACAGGGGCTCAGGGGAGAGAGAAAGCATAGGGACCACCCAAAAGGGGTGTCTACTTGCACAGAGATGCAATACCCCAAAGCCGCACTCTATGTAAGTTGTGCCAGAGGTGAGTGAGCTAGAACACACACACACACACACACACACACACACACACACACACAACTGCCTGCAGGACTCTGTAAGGAGGTACGGCAGACTAAAGGTTTGTGTCCCCAGCATTCATCTGTTGAATCTTAACCCCCCCACTGTGATGCTGTTAGGAGGTGGGGTCTTTGGGAGGTCATGAGGGTGGAGCCCCATGAATGGGGTTAAAGCCCTTATAGAAGGGACCCCACAGAGCTCCCTGCCCCTTCCGCCATGTAAGGACACAGTGAGAAGGTGCCGTCTGGGATCCCAGGAGGGGTCGTCACCAGACACAGGATGGGCTGGCACCATGATCTCAGATGTCCAGCCTCTAAATTGCGGGACACCAATGTCTGTTTATAAGCCACCTGGGATTCCTGTCACGGCAGCCTGGGTGGACTAAGACAAGAAGGACAAACAGCTTCCCTGTGGACTTGGAACCACAAGTCAGCTGTTACGCAGTGTTCAGCCGGAATTCACGTCACTGAGGTGGTTTCAAAAAACGCAAGCTGAAAATTTATTTCAATGTGGCTCCAAAGACTGTCAGCATCTCTAGGCTCCTGTCAGAAGCAAGTAAAATCCTGGAAGAGACCACACTCATTTCAGGTGTCAAAGAATTTTCACAACGTTCCAAGGAAAACAAGCAGCTCTTAGTTAAGATGAAAACGTCACCAAAGACACAGGGACACAAAGCACATGACGAAGCGTAAGCGGAAGCCGTGGACACAGGCCTGGAAGGACTTCAGACATTAGAACACCGGGCAGACTCCAAAACAACTGCTTTTAACATGCGTCAACACATATGAGAGGCTTGAACGTATGAGCTAAGAGTAAGATATCTGGAAACGAACCAACCAGAATTTGTAAAGATGAAAAGTACAATGTTTGGAATTTAAGCCAAGTAGGCGAGTTTAACAGAGGTTGACACCAGAAGAGAAAACGGACGACCAGGAAGGTAGATTTGAAGAAATTACCTAGAAAGCAGACCAGGGTGATAAAAAGAAAGAAAACATGGGCGGTAAGAAGCGTGGTGGTGGGAGGCAATACTTAAAGAATAGTGGCCGCTTTCCAAGAATAATGGAAGACGCAGAGTCCCGATGGACCTCACGCGGGATGAGCACACAGCAATCTCCACACAGACATATCACAGGGAAACTGCAGCCCACCACTTAGCGACACAGTCAGACAGAGGCAGACACACACCATACGATCTCACTGATAGGTAGAATCTAAGGAACAAAATACGTGAGCAAACAAACGAACTGCAGGACACCAGGGTCAAAGTCAGCGCCTGAGGCGGCCAGAGCGAGGAAGCTGACCATCTTCACAAGGACTCGGTCACGATCGAAGACACAAAAGGTATCATTCAAGTGCTGAGAGAACACACCTGCTGACCAGGGAACCCCATCCTCAGGACAAGGGGGAATACAGACCCCTGGTGAGCCAGCGCCACCCCGACCTCAGGCCGGCCCTCACGGGGCGTTTGTTTCCCGCAGCGGGCGGGAGCCCTGCCGAGGAGAGGCGTGGGCCGGCAGGCGTGGAGCATTTCAGAGAGCTGACCGGGCATGGCTGCGGGGGCCCCTGCTGGGCCTGGCTGGGAGCAACGGTGCGAGGCCCCTCTCCTGCGTGTGCTCGGGAGTCAGGCCCATGGAGACCTCCTTCTGTCCCCAGAACAGGGTGGGTCCCACAGAGCCAGGACCTGGCCCTGTCCCTCACTCCACTTCCAGGCCTCAGCCTCCTGCGCCCCTTCTCTCAGGGGGTCTCCGCAACCCTGGCGTTCCCCACGCCACAGACTGCTGTGGCCAAGCCGAGCGGGGGATGTGGTGGAGGAGGCCAGTGGCTACACCAGCCACAGACACCAAAGCAGGTGCCCGCCAGCGGGCGGGGGCAGCGGGGGCACCTCTCTCTTGATCCGGCGCTGCGCCTCCCTCAGCTCCAGCTGGCCCCGCAGGTGGAGTACACGGCCCGTGGTCCCGGCCAGCTCCTGGGCCAGTGTGTCGTTGGCTCTCTTCATGTGCTGCAGCTGTTCCCTCAGGAGGGTGTTCACCTGCGAGAGGCCGGTGCTCCTGGATGGCAGAAACCACAGTGGTGTGACTGTGCGGGGGTGGCCGCTGCTGAGAGCGGTGCTCAGAGACCCAGGCCCCGAACTCCTGGGCCCAGCCGGCCTCTGCCAGGTGTGGAGCCCCCACACTGCCCCTAAGCAGCACTGACCACCTGTAGTGGGTCCCCGGTGGCCCCCCAAACTGGGACCAGCACCTTGGCTGCCTCTTCCTTCCCTGAGACACCTGCTCTTGGCTTCCTCCCCCTTTGAGCTCTCCTGGCTCTGCCCCCCAACTGTGGCTGGCTCCTCCATCCCTGGTACAGAGGTGAACCCCAACACAAGCAAGGGGGACAGGGCTTGGGAGCCCATGGCTGAGGGTGCCGGGGCTGTGAGGGCGGTGCTGTCCTTGCAGTGGGGTAGGTTGGGACAGGGAGGGCAGCCCCCCGGGACCTGGGGGCCTTGTCCATCCAGGACAGGTCTGCATGCGGCTGTAGTCAAAGACTCCAAACCCGCCAATTTGGGGCCCCACCCTCCAGAGCCAGCACCTCCCTGCCAGGCTGCAAGCCCACCACTGGACATTCTCTGCTGTTTGCTCTGAGGGCATAAGCCCCAGGCTGGTCTTCAGAAAGCTTCTCAGCATGTTCCCCCTTTCTGGGTCCCTGAGGGTGAGCCAGCAGGAATGTTCCGGGGACCGCTCTCCCTGCAGAGCTGGACAGACGCCATGCCTTCCCTGCAGTGTCCTGGGGCTTAGGTACGCAGGAGCTGCCTCTGGGGGGCTGAGGTGTGACACACGCTCACCAGCAGTGAACAAATGAGCCTGTGACCATGAAATCAGTGCGGCTTGAGGCCAAAGGGGCCCGGGAGTCAGGGCCGGGGAGCGGAAAGCAGGATGGAGGGCAGTGCCGTGGGCATCCCAGGATGTGCTGGGCCACCCGAGGGCCACAGTCCGCTGCAGTGCCGGCCAGAGCACAAGCCTCGGCGGACGTCGGGGGCCCGGGGGACACACTTGGGAAAGCAGGGCCGGGGAGACCCTCACAGCATGTGGGACCTGCACCCCGTGCCCGAGGCCTTGCAGGGCTGCTCCCACTCCCT